CCTCAGTTTAGGGGGGCACCGTCCAGTCTACTGGGGGCCCACATGGAACAAGAAGGTGGAGAAAGAGTGAGTTCTGGTTGTGTGTCTTCTGAAGCTGGGACAGCCTTCTCCTGCCCTTGGACGTCAGGACTCAGGTTCTCCAGCTTTCAGACTCCGGAAGCTGCCCCAGTAGCCCTAGAGGCTCGCGGGCCTTTTGTCTCAAGCTGAGAATCACGGCATCGGCCTCCTTGGTTCTGAGGCCCTTGAACTTGCGCTGATTCATGCTACTGGCTTCCCAGGTTCTCCAGCTGGCAGATGGCCTGTCACAGCACTTCTCAGTCCCCCAACCACGTTAGCCAGTTCCCCCAATTAGCCCCTCCTCTCTCTCTCTCTCCGTCTCCTCTGTCTCTCCTACCAGTTCTGTCTCTCTGGAGATCCTTGACTAAAACATAGGACAACTCGAATATGTCAACTGGCTCACAATGTTTTAGACAAACTAGTGAAAGAGAGATACGCGTTGAATCGTTACGGGGCTAACATGGCTAGAATGAAAACGGCTGCCGTCGATTGGGTGCTGCCTTCGTGCTAAGTGCCCCAACGCCTTCTCCACTCTCCAGCCTTCACCACCACCTTTAACAGAGGAGGACACTGAGTGATGTCCCACTTGCTCCGGGCCAAGCAGCCCCCGAGAACGTGGGTTCTAGGCTCCTAAAGCAAATGCATGTTTGTTGGGAAACATTCTCACTGAGAGAAGGACCTGCAGCCCTCTGACAAGTCCCTGGCATCACGACTGCTGTGGCTGGCCATGCCAACCACATGAACATGTCCAGTGACGGGCTGGCAGCGGGTACACACTGCTGAGGAATGCCTGCAGAGTGGGGTCAACTGCTTCCTGCTCCCTTCGACAGAGAATTGCTCAGTCGACCCAGAGACCACGAGGAGACGGGAGCGGCGCTCCCCTCCTGCCCGTACCTGCGTGGTGAACGTGTTGACAGCTGGCCGCGGTCTCCTCCTGTAAAAGAATAATATTTATGTAGCCTTGAAACACACCCAAGAGTCTGCACGTAGGGGTTTGGGATGTGCATACTTTGGCCTTTTCTTTTACTATTGCTGAAAAAAAACCCCTCACAAACCTAAAGCTATGCCACACTTTCCAGAACTTCAAAATACATTTGAGTTCCTGTTCTTCTTTTTTTTCTTTTTCTTTTTTCTTTTAATTCCTCCTTTCCCCTCCCTGTCTCCCCTTGCCCCCCATCAACATCTATCTGTTCACTTGTCTTAACAAGTTCAAGGAATTGTTGTGACTGTTGTGTCTTCTTCCCCGCCCCCGTTCGTTTGTGTATTTATTTTTATTAGAGTTCCTGTTCTTTTTACAGCTGTGTTTATTTCCCATTTACCTGAAATCGATAGTTAGCCACTGATGAAATAATCATAGTTCTGCCAGACTTCTCTGAGGTGATCTGGAAGGTCTTGGACTCCTTACCTGGCTTAGAATTCCACAGTCACCCGAGGTGGCCGCACGTTGAATCCACAGCGCTCCTGCTGCCCTACGTCTGCAGCACCTGCCACTCAGCACGTTGCCCGACGTGGCCTGTCTTGAACTCTTCTGAATGGTTTGTTTGCTTTCCCTCGGGTTTTCTCTTTGTTCCTGCTTCTGTTTAAGTGCATATCGCCTGACTTGAGATGATCAGCATAAACTGCACCACGAGAGCCTTCCCTGCAACTGGGAGCTTGCATGCTGCTTCCACGCTCTCCATGTGGCAGGGAGCCCCATGTCACCTGAGTCACCCAGCGGAGGGTGAGGCTCAGCCTGTTGAATCAGTGTGTGCCCTGGAGAAGTTATGAAACCCCGGTAAGCATTCTGGTTGCATTTCATTCTTCCTAAAAACCTGCCCAGTGCAGAGAGAACTGAGCAGACCTCGGAGCCAGGCCCATTTGGGTTCAATCTCTCTTCCAACTTACTAGTTCTTTGATCTGGGCAAGGTACTAGATCTTTCCAGCCCTCAGCTCCCTGCCACACGAGATGCTGACCCTCACAGACGGTCGTGAGGGGCTGTGGAAGAGCCAGCAGAAGCACTCGGCACGGTTCCTGCTGCTGACGGAGCCCGCGGGGTGCTGGCTTCCCCCGACGTGGGCCGACCGCCCGGGCCCTTTCTCACTCGGCCATGCTCTGCAGGAGGGAGTGGGGCTGGGCTCCGTCTTCTTCCCGTCAGAGCAACTTCTAACGCTCCTCAGCCCTCACCACATGATCTTCCTGTGAAGGAGGAAATAGCCTACACTGCCCTATTTTAGAGCAAGAGTAAAAATGCCAAAACAAGCACTTAAACGTCGCATGTGCTCACAGTACTTTTGTCATTAGTTTCCTCAGAAAGTGGAAACAAAAGTGAGGTCAAGACTGTCCCCCAGAAGTTAATTGAGGCTGTCCCGGGTGTGCAGCTTCCCAGTGTGCCGGAGACTGAAGGTGTCCCCAGGATTCGGTGCTGAAACTTGAAGCCCCAGGCAAACAGGGACAGCCGACCGCCTTACTAATGTCCTCTACACAAGGCAGGGCTCCCAGGATGTTGAGCTGGACCAAGGCGGGGTGTCTGCCTCTAGGCTTCGGTGCACAGGGCAGCCATGTGAGCTATGGGCCTTGCATCCTCGCAGGAGATGCGAGGGTTGAACTCTGTGATTTGCAACACCACTTCTAGCCGTAACAGTCTGCAGTCCTGGCACAGTGGGTCTCTGCCCACCTGCCCCAGTGCCACCCCAACACTCCCTCTTGGGTACCCCCCACACACCTAGAAGGGAATGGGGTGAGAGCCCATGAGGGGACCCCTGGCTGAACTGTAGATGCTGCAGTCTTGACTTGGCAGGTGGGTGGTGAGAAGAACAGGGTCTTCAGGTCCTGATGCCATCAGCCCGACTCGCCCCAGCCTGAGCCTTCTGTTTACCTGTGAGGGTGTGTCTGAGAGGCAGCGCTCAGAGGTCGCTCAGAGAAAACACCACCCTTCCCTTCCCTGCTGGCCTGCTCTGGCCTGTGACAGTCACCCTTTACTTGCCGTATTGCCCCTGTTCACTCTCCCTGAGTTCCACAAGTGGACTCTCTGTAAAAGCCAAAGTAAGGCATTGGGTCCCTTTCCAACAACCTCACGGCCTGGAGGCAGGCTCAGTCCCGAGGCCTCATGTGCAGAGCGTCCTGCTCTGTGAAGGAACTCCGGAGACTACAGTAAACCTCTCAGTGAAAAAGACGCCAGTTACAATTTGCACGTTTCCCTTCCCAGCTGCTTGATTCTTTTTCTATGGTTTGGACCTTGGGTACCATTCCTGGTTCAGACAGATTGACTGCTAAATAGAAACCACGAGCCTAAAAGTTCATGTAAATTCACCAATCAAGCGCGTAGTGTCACTCACGCTTGCCTGTTTCCTCACTGCACCTGCGTCCCTTCCTTCCTCTGTCCTCTGTGTCCACCTATCAGTCATCCACGTCTATCACCTGCCTGTCATCTATCAGCTATCCGAGTCTATCTGCCACTCATCTGTCAGTCATCTGTACCTGTCTGTCATCTATCTATCTATCTGTGTATCTCTTTTCTGTCTTTGAACATCTGGCCCCCGCTAGACCACAAGCCCCACCAGGGCAGGGATCTCTGAGCCCCCAGGGCCTAGTGCAGCATCTGGCTCCTAAGCAGACACATGTGAGTGAATTCCGCTTGTTGTCATCAGTGGCAGCCTAGATTAAAGTCACCATTGCTCAGAAGCACAATTGTTTTGATACCACAAGGTGGACTGCAGGGATTTGGGTTTAGTCAATTCTGTGATTTCCTGCTCTGGCACTTGTAATGAAAGGTTCTGCTTAAGCTCAAAGTTTAGTAACCCACAGGGTGTAATGAAGCCAGGATCCAGGTCTTTCCATGTCTGACCTGTGGTTGAGATACTCGCTTTCTAAGAAAATTAATATTATTAAATATGAATTAAATATGAACAGCTATTAATGATTTAATACATTCTCCCCTTCAGAAAGTATTTCAGTTTTAATGAAAATTTTCAAGAAGGTAACACAAAGATGACAATCAATTGTAGAGTTGGAGGCGTTGTGGTGGAGGTAACGAGGAAACTCTTAGGGCCAGGAGCACACCTGTCTGTCGCCTTTCCATTTTCTCCCCATCAGCTGCTCCCTGCTATTTCCAAGACCAGGGTTATAATCTCCTGGTTGAGACCGTCACCTTCCTCTTTGTTCAATATTTCTAATCGGGAACAGTTAGATATTATATAAATCGATTTAATTCACCAGTGAACATGCAAACGATGTTTAAACAGTGTGTATCATTCCATTGCTTCCTATTCTGTTGAATTTTCAGGAAGGGCAACTGAGAGGTTACCTGAGGAAGAAAACGGCAGCTGCCGTGGACTCTGGGGCGGAAGGTGCACCGCACAACGCCGGGCCTGCCTGTGAGCTGCTGCAACGTGGGTGTCTGCAGCCCCCTGGGGATCTGCCCACGTTGGTGTGGAAGCACGGAAGAGATGTGTTTACCCTCCTCAGGAGTGCCTCTTAGGAAGTTTGCACAGGTTTAGGCATAAACACCCCAAGACTGAAAACAAAGCCAACCTGGCTGGGTCAGAGCAGAGAGAGAAGACACGGCTCCGTCCAGCTGACACAAGCCCATGGCGCGCTGGCATAAGGAGTTCGTGACAAAGGCTGCAAACGGTGCTTTCAGTTTTATCTGTGTCCATCTTCCAAGGACAACATTAATAAAACATGAAGAAAAATGTTTTTAAGCAAAAGACTGATGAAACAATTAAAAACAAAGTGCTAAATATTCAAAACTTGTTTTTACGGCATTCTGTCTCCAGGAGAGTTGGAGACGTCAGGCACCACGCAACCCACCTGGGTCGCGTCTTGGACCGCTTTCCTTGTTTCTACTAATACGTTGATGAGATGATGTTCAAGAAGAAAAGGGAGAAAACAAAATATATGTGTAATTATAATAAGCATACTCTTGCTTCAAATTTTTCACATTGTTCAAACTCACAAATCAATATTAATAAGTGATAAAAATTCTTTATTTCTTTAATACAGAATATGTAATATTTGCACTCCAGTTGCAAGCAGTGTGTAGAAAAACTCTATTTAGAAACTTCTAAAACAATTGTCAGGCATGTTTTTTTATGGCATCACCAACTATAACCACAGCACTGAACTTTGAACCTACTGAAAAGAGCCAATGCCCATTGAAACCTCCTTCTTATTTCACTGTCAATGATCAGTAGTTTAAAAACCACATATATATGTACATGTATACATACATATAATGAGGAAACTTTCTAGTCACGTGAATACCTTTCAGTCTGAGGCACTGCAAATCCTCACCCGCATATTAATGAAAAAGACTGCTGCCAAGTTATTTTCCTTGCTTTAACCATCATTTTTTTCCATTTTGTTTAATCACGTTATTTTATATGCTATTCTTTCACGGACAGATCAAAGTACTTTGTAGCGGCAACTACTGCTCGACCTTGGGAAAAGCACTTACAAGCTTCCCATCTGGATTGAGCCACAGTGTTTGATTTTCTTCAGTCGCTCAGCAAATTGGGGCGGTTCAGGTTTAGGAAAGGACTTGTCATGTCTAAGCACATACTCAAGACATGAGGCTGAGCGCGAGTCTACGTGGAAAGGAAGCAGAATGTGCTCACTGCTCTGGAGCCTGGTGCCACCCTGCTCCCCTATTCCTCATGCCCCATCTCCGATATCTTCTCCAGAATTGCTCTCCTCTTTGACATTGTCTTTTTTTTTTTTAAAAACTAAGTGCAATACAGTGAGCAGCCAAATAGCAGCATTTTCAGAGGAATGACTGGGAAAACATTCCTACAGCAGAGAACCCGCTGTTTGAGTCTGAGTCTACATTTAGACAAAGCCTCCAAAAATGTGTATCTGGGACTTACTTGAAAACAAATCACTATGGTACTGAGCACTGTGCAAGACCACTTGCACTCTAAAGACAAAAGTTCAATTAAACAATATATACAAAAAGATGACCAAGGAGAAAATGATTTAAAATTATTATATTGATAAAAATTAAAACGATATGAAGTAAAGGAAAACTACCTGAAGACTGATAACTGTGTAAAAATAAATATTCGAGTAACACACAGACCTAATCTCACAGTAAAAGTTACAAAAATTTAATACAATATTAAACAAATACATAACTATAGCAAAATGGAATGCTTTATAAAATATTTTACCACTGGGAAACACATTTCTCTCCCCTCCATATTCTTCTCTCTAGTAATTTTGTCCCTAAAGAGATATATTTTGATGAAACATGGTAAACTTTGAAAGAGTTAGCTAAGTTCCACATTTTCTTTGTGTTGTGAATCTGAAATCTACTTACTCTGGGTGTCATGAGCAAGTTCAGACTTAAGGTCACAATAACTCTTTACGCACCTTCTGATCATAGAGTCTCCCAGACAGCCAGAGGCTGCCCCTTGTTTTAAAATGTAACTTTTGCAGAAAACTGTGAACTGGTGCCAGATTTGGGGATGGTTACATGATATGTAGAGGTGCGAGTTGGACCAAAGGACTGTGAAAAGTCCCGGCCCTCAGATGCCCAAGTTCTGTATAAACTAAGGTTTCCGTCCTTCTTGGAGGCTGGGAACAAGAGAACTGTGCAGGTATAGTGGAATGCTGCTATTGGTCTGATGAAAGGAAAAACTCCAAGATTTTTCTGCCATTTCTCAAGAAACTGTCCAGGTGCAATAAAATAGCAGTATCTCAGCTGTAACTTATCTTTTAACGGGTACTTCCACAAGCCCAAGACCCTATGCATACTGGCATAAACAGAATGACCTCGTAGGCCTCAAGGGACTTTAAAAGTGCTTTCTGACTCATTCAAAAAGACAATCAGTCATATAGTTTGGGCATTAAGTGTCGTTTACAGAACTGTAATGCTTTGGAAACGGGTCTGTGTATGGTATGTGTGAGTCTGCAGGCTGTAGTATTTAAACAGAATACACCTTCTTGTGAATTGCAGAACTTTGATTTAAATGGTGTCATTAAGTCCAGGACGGTAGGAAGGAGTAAATACCCTGACATTCAGGCCTGATCTTCATACTCTTCACCTTTAAAAAAAAAAATCAACTGAGACATTGTTAAAACACTTCACAGCATCTCTTTTGCCAGCAAGTCGGTCAAAAAGATGTCCCTGAAAATACTTCCGAACAGCTTTTCCCTTTCCCGCTGCCGTCTGGAAGCAGGGACAGACCCTCTAACAAGGAAAACGTCTCTCAGTGCTTGGCTGCTATGACAGTCCTAATTCTGCTAATTTTCAAGGTCTGTGTTCCCATCTCCTCCACAGCATTTCAAACCTTCTGAAATCACCTTAGCTTTGTCGGTGGGGTGCTTTATTCGTGGGAAAGCAGCAATCACGTGGTCGCCCGGGCACAGTGGGCAAATGGCCTTGGGTCCCAAGTCACACTTCAGGCATCCCCATCATCGAAGGGAAGTTTTACTTCCTGATGAGCAAAGAAAAAACGGTGAATCGATTTCAGTCTAGGCAAAAGTTATGAAACCAAACATTATACTACTAAGTCTGGTCCTCATAGTCTTCGGTTTTGTGATTTTCTGTGCATTTTAAAACAACTCTTTTTTGCATTTTAAGCTTGGAAAACAAGTTGGTAGCTTTACTGTAGGCAGCTCTCACCTGATTTCTCTAGCAGAACAAATCACCTCCCTACGGGCTTCTTTCTAGACTTCTGAAATTTTTCTTTGCCTCCAACTACTCATGGGGCAGTTCAAAACCAGTTCTTTGAATGCTGGTAAGGCCAGTGCTAAGTACCACAGAGTTGGACAACAGAACTGAAAACAAGGCAGGCAGCCCAACTAAATATTTGAAAGCAAACAGATTCCACCCTTTTCAAATACCGATCTCTCTAAAAGGCCCAGGTGCTTGCCAAAAGACAGGGAAGGGTAGCCGTATGGTGACGCAAGTCACTTTATCTAAAATGTGCTCCTAACTGGTAACTGCAGAGCTTCCCAGAAGAGCCAAAAAAGAAAGGAGCAGAAAGGCTGCGTGTCCCCAGCTTATCTACTCTGTACTCCCACAGCATCTTTGCAAATCTGAGACACATTCTGTCCCAGGAGCTTTCAGTGGGCTTCTGCACATACCCTTTTTTATACAAGGGAAATGTGAAGATAGCTGTGGAATATATAAATATTTCTGCCTTGAAATTAAATAATATTTATCTCTAATTATCCTAAAGGAAAAGTTACCATTTTTTTACACCAATATTAACACCAACAACATATATTCTATGCAAAAGACAGAAAACCAGAAGGACCTAAATTCTGGCAAGTTCCCAATTGGAAGAACTGAAGGACAGGAAGATGACTAAATATCAGCAAGGGAAGAGCAGTTTTCTTGAATTACACTCTGGGAAGCAGAATCCCGCAATCACCTGTGTGTAACCATCTGTCACTCACAGGTCCCCAGTGGACTGGCATGCAGATTCCATGAGTCATTCTCCATTTCTACAATTCTCAGTTTTGAAAAGCAAATATTTTCATCCCATGGGGTAAGAACTTTATGAACTTGTTACTTAGTTCTGGATGGGTTATTTTTACTGCACTTTATAAACTATATCTACCAAGAGGACAAAAACCTCCATGTAAAATATATTTGTTTTTCCTTTCACTTGGAAAGCCTACCTTTTTTCCTATCAAATTTTCTGAAGTTTTCATGAAATCCTAAAAGGAATCCTTACAGATAGCAGCACAAATGTCATGGTAAACTAGAGAAAAGCATGGCTTGAATTTTTGCTTTTGCATCTTCCAGAAGTCATAAAGCTGGTCTCAGGACAAGTGACTCCCGGTGTGGGTGCTGAGTCCTGCCTGGCTCTGCTGGCTGCTCCTCAGAGGAATGTGGGGGACTTCTGAAGGGGACTGTGGTCACAAGCTAGAGAAAGCTCAGGAAACTCATTTCCTCCTCGCAATCCTCCAAGCAGCCAGGCAGCAGGTCTCCTGCATTGCCGCCCGAAGAATGCACGCTATGTTTTGGGTCTAGGGGAGTAAATCTGTGTGGTAAATCTTTACAGTTCTGGTGACTGCCAATGCCATACGAAAACCAGGACAGGATCTGTGTCACTGTCCCAAGCTCTGAGCAATAACACTCAGAACAAAAGGGATTAATGTGGAGGGAGAAATAAGGCGAGGGAAGCCCTTGAACTCTGGTCTCCTGTATCGTTCACCCTGAGTCCTTTCCCAGACCTGTCCCCACCTTCCCTCCTGTTTCAACCACTTCTCCCTGTCATGAAGGTGAAAGTTCTCACGGGCTAACAAATCTTCTCATGCTTTTCATAGCTTCAAACCTGAAAGGGTTTTGGAAAGGTCACTTCATAGATTAAATCCTAAATTCTCTTTCAGGTCACTATTTTGACATTGGAGCACTGGAGATGGGGACAGGTCTGGGTCTGGAAGGATCAGAGAGCCTTCATGCCTTCGTTTTGGGTGAGTGTGTGTTGTCAGGTTTTATTTCATTTTGTTTGCAAGTCATCTTGCTACCTCAGCACTGTTTACACCAACAGTTCTGCCTTCTGGCTGCATGGCTCTGATTACCTGGAGGGAACCTAGTCATCAATTTACTTTTCACATAACCCAGTAGAAAATTTTTTGTCTGTCTTCCTTTTCCAGGCTCTAGTCATGGGACGCAGATGCACAGGTTGCTAACTCTACAGAGTGTGCAAGTCACGGAGTCTGGAAGCCGCCTGCCCGTCTCCCTCACGGTCATGGACAGAGGGACCCTGGTCCAGGTGTGGGAGTCGCTCGCTCACAGAAGCAGCTCTGATTCTGTCCTGGTGCTCTGTCTGTCCCCAACACTCTCCTCCACACCACGGCGCTTGCGGTGGCATCGTGGGAACAACCTTGCCCACATCCACTCATCTCAGATCCAAAAGACAGCTTGTGAAAAATAAAATAATATTGCTTTTTAAAAAATTTCGACTGCCTCTGTACATTCTTTGGGGACTTACGGGTGGCATCGTGGGAACAACCTTGCCCACATCCACTCATCTCAGATCCAAAAGACAGCTTGTAAAAAATAAAATAATATTGCTTTTTAAAAAATTTCGACTGCCTCTGTACATTCTTTGGGGACTTACACTAGTGGAAATCAAATCTTTGATAAATTATAAGCAAGACCTTAAGTCCTGAGCCTTCTGAGCTCAAGACAGACTAAATTTACATCTAGTCATGAATTCTCACGTCTGTACTAAGGAAACGGCCATTCAGAGAGGATATGGGCCTTGCCTTAGTGCTCTGACACAGGAGAGCTGTGACAAACATCTGCGCGGCCTGCGCCACGGTTCCACAGGGGACACAGCGTCTTCATTCTATTTATCTCAACGGCACACAAAATAACTTCGTCTTGTGAATTTTTAAAAGTGTATAGCAAGTCGTCATCAAAGGGTAAGAGGAAAAACGACGTTACAAAGTTTAAATCCTTGGTTCTTAAAGAGAACCCTAGCAAGGTGCCTTTCGTCACTGCACGCAGAGGGTGACAGTGCACACTCCTCAGCTGCTCCGGGACAAGCACAGCAGCAGCAGATCTCGAGGTCGATTCTGTGCTGCGGGTTGTTCAAGAGGAATAAACGTACCCCCTGTGTTGTCATCAGGGCAGACAGAACTACAGAGTCACAGCAGTTTAGAGCTCGGGCACATCATGGACAGTCTAGTCCAATCCCCCAGTTCAACGACCTGAAGCTGTCAAAACAATTTAGATAAAATTTAGCCAAATAAAGATCTTTCCTTGCAAAATGAATGCCCAACTGCCGACGAGATCCGTGACGTTCTCCCCGCTTTGGTAAAGATCCCGGGGAAATGCAGGGAGCGCCCTGCGGGCCGGAGCTGGAGGCAGCGCCCGCCTGGGGCGCGCAGGGGCCGCAGCTCCCAGGCTCGCCGGTCCCCGCGTCCCGGAGCGGGGGCTCCCGGCGAGTTTGCACAGGAAAGGATAAGGCCGGGGTGTGAGGCTGCTGACAGCATCTCGCAATTCTGATTTCTTCTGTTCCCACAATAATGAGCCAACCAGGGCGGTGCTAACCGACACCGTCACCTTCAGGCAGTGGGATGCAGCACAGACAGAGACAAGGGGCGGACCCGCAGCCTCCGCCGCTCAGTCTCGGGTCCTCGAACGCAGCGCACCGAGCTCTAAACGCTACGCATCCGCTGTGAGCAGCCTCCATCCAACCTGTGCCCTCTCCAGCCACGTACCTCCGCTCCTGGCGCCCCGCGGGCGGTCACGCCGGGCCCTGCAGCCCCTGCGTCTCCCGGGCCTTCTTGCAGGTGTACAGCCACCTGATGATGCGGGCGTTCCGCTCGATGACCGAGGTGGTGCTGGGCACCTGCTCCGCCAGCTCCTCCGCCTGCAGCCCGCGGTCTTCCCCGCTGTGCCCGGAGGACTCGCTGTCGGAAGTGGCGACGCTCACGCTGCGCACCTGGAGGGCGACGGGGTCCCAGCCGGCGGCGAAGTTGTCGCGCCCGAGCGCCTCCAGCACGTCCGGCTCCAGGCCGCAGAACTGGAAGAACGCGTCGGACTCGGCCGAAGTCTTGGCGTGGCGGTCGCCGAGGTCCGGCTGCGGGCGCGGCGGCCCCCCACGCGCCACCACCCGCGGTCCCCCACGCGCCGCCACCCGCGGCTCGGGGCC